AGGGTTGTGATCCGTTGCCGGACACGGAAAAAAGACAAAAAAAAAAATAAAAAATAAAAAAAAAATAAAAGCCCCATTACTCAAAGAGCTTCTAAACAGCTCTTTAATATGAACAAAAAATGCCAGACCTCTGAGGAATGCTTTCGTACATGAAAGATAGACACCAAAGCAAACAAATGGAAAAAAACATCTTAAAAATAGCAATAGCTAAAATCTGTGAAGCATTTTACCATGTGTCAGACAATAAGTTCTTTAAGCTCATTATCTCATTTAATGTTCACAACAATCCCATGGTTATTTCCATCTTACAGAGGAAGAAACTAAGGCTTGAGGAATTTAATTTGCTCAAGGTCACATAGCCAGTAAGTGGGGGCCCAAGGCCCAATGCATTCTGATAAACTCCTGAGGTCATGCTTTCTGAAAACACAAAAACTCTATTTTGAAGTAATGTTATTTATAAAAAGTTGCAAAAATGGTACAGAGTTCCTGCATCTTCTTTACCCAGCTTCCCCTACTGTTAACATCTTATGTAACCACAGCATATTAATCAAAGCCAGGAAGTTAACATAGGTACAATATGGTTAACTAAACCACACCAGGTTTTCCACTAATGTCCTTTTTCTGGTCCAGGATCTAATGTGGCCATCTAGCTGTCACGTTTTCTTAGTGTCCTTCAACCTGTGACAGTTTTTCAGTATTTCTTAGTCTTTCACGACTTTGATACTTCTGAAGAGTACTAGTCAGTAATTTTGAAGAATGTTTCTCAATTTGGATTTGTCTCAAGATTAGACTGAAATCAGACATTTATGGCAAGTTCTCAGTGCACCACCAGGAGTGTATGATGTTAATGTGCCCTATGACTGGTCATATTAAAAAGGCCATGTTTTTAATCACTGTATTAGTTTCCTATTGCTGCTGGAACAAAATACCACAAACTCAGTGGTGTAAAACAGCACAAAACTACTTTCCACACTGTCTTATGCTGGGTCAAGAGAAACTGACTTTGGACAGAGAAATACGATCTTGTATAAAAGTTATTATAATATATGTATTTTAATCCAACTATGAAATCCTTTTAAGAATTTGTAAAAAGAGGGCCGAGCCCGTGGTGCACTCGGGAGAGTGCGGTGCTGGGAGCGCAGCAGCGCTCCC